GGATTGGACAATAAAAGAACAATAAAAGAATAAAAGAACAATAAACTAAACCAGAGAATTATAATTTCAAAACTGCACTAACAGTGGGTTTTTAAAGGGGAAAAAAAATGTGAGTATATTTTCTATCCTTAGAAAACAGGGATAAATCCTCTCTGTTTTCCCTTCTGGATGTTCCTTCACCTTTTAGGATTGAGGGAGGACAGAAGAATGACATGAAACTGCCTCTCCAACTGCTGTTTCAGCTTTGCCCAACTGCTTCTCTTCTGTGCATGGAAAGATGCAAAGGAGGCAGTGCGGTCCTGCACGGCTCATGGGATCCATTGGAACCCCCTTTTTTGTAGCATTTCCCCCACCTCCAGATACAAACTAACTGAAGACAATTCCAAGGGGCTGGTCTAGGCACTAACGTTTAGCAGCCCTTTTCTACTCTGTAAGACACGCTTTCAAAATCAGGTTTGGGATTTCGAAAGCGAATAAGTAAGACTTGTTTTAATTTCAACATATATTTTAAATTACAGTCATCAGTAGGACGACTAGTAGGAGTAAATGCTTTAACACAGAGAAGTGAGTATTGAAAAGTCAGCATTTGTTAAAAATAATGACAAGTGAAATGCAGTCTTCTTCCCTATGCCTACAGAATGTAGTAATGGTCCTTTCCTGTGAGTGAGAGTTGTAAGCGTATTGTGAGGAAGAACTTTGGGTGAATGCTATGAAGTCATTCACAGAACAACTTTGTGGAATTAAGTGGGATGATGCTTTTCTTTTAGCTAGAAAGAATTTTCTTACCACTGCAGTAAGTAAAGTACCGGCATGGCTACAGAGGTAGCCAAATTTTCATTTTCATTAGCAATAAAAGATGTACAAAGGAGACTGATAGAACAGTGCAGTGGATGATGCCACTTGAATTAAGGGTTTAGCTTACATGACGGGAGATATCTTTCCCACCTTTATCATCACTGCTTCTTTAACACAGAGACATACACAATGACCTATAATAAACATTCTGAATGACTGCCAAATCAACTTTGAAAAAATTATGGTGTTATATACAGTAATTACATTTCCTATTATATTTCCTATATAACTACCAAGTAGGCATAAAAAAATATGTATTAGAACTAATCACATGTGGTGGGGTAAGAGGGAAAGAAAGAAAGCACATCACGTAATATGCCCTGACAGTAAGGTTAGGGACTGTGGGAAGACCTCATGATGTGTAAAAGCTGCAGGTGAATTAGATCTGTAATTCTCAGAATTTTCGTATTTTATCTTATTGTGTTCTATTTTCTTGCCACTTGTTTGCAAAAATCCTATTTTAAACATTTCTTTTTCACAAAGACTATTAAATCCATAAATTAAAGAATATCAATTCAACAAATTTTATGTTAAAGCACTAAATGCCTCTAAATGAAGTTCTGATCAAAGTGATATTCACTACTTTACAGAAATCTCTAAAAAAAAAGGTGCATTACAAATATTACCATTACTTCAGGATACACGGAGTTGACTCCTACTAAATGCAAGTAGGAATTAATGGAGATTCCTTGTTATGAAGTTGTTATCACTTCAAGTTCCTCTAAGTCCCCAATATTAGATGCAGACATGCTTATTAAACAACTTCTTTTGGGAGAGAGGAGAGACAGCATTCAAGACAGAAAAAAAGAACAATTTTAGGGCAATTTTACCATTGATCTATTTGAAGCAGCCCCAAAGTTTGGAGTATTAGTAGCATGAGCAGAAATTTCAAGAAGACCATAGCAGGCATAGACTGAATGAAATTTGTCATATAGGTGCCATTACTGTATACAATTCCCTAAGTCTATTACATCTCACACAGGTATACAGTACTGTCCATTATCTACAAAAACTGATGCTAGGGAAAATGTTCGAATTTAACTCCACAGCTAAGTAATTTGCTGAATTTTATATTAAGTGCTTGATATAATATGAATTGCTAAGATAATTTGGACCTGATAGGTCTCTCACACCGAATTTTTGTGATCCCATGACAGGACAAATGAAAAGCTTTAATAAACAATAAACTTCGGTACCGTGAAACAGGTTTGAGTAGCCTCTAGGGATATCATGCAGAACAGCTGCTACTGATTCTATTTTGCTCATGACCACTGTATTCAGGTAACTAACTCTACCAAATGATAGCTGCAACAGTGTATTTGTATTTTAAAATACCATTATTTGTGCACTGTACTTCGTGTAAAGATATTGTCCACATCTATCAGGTAAAGAGGACACTGATACCCCAAGACCCTCTGTTAAAATGTGTAATACATTTAAATAAAAATGTTGAACTTTTCACATTGCAAACCTCTTTAAACTCTCCTTGCTATTGTAGCAAGCTCTTTGTTGCAATAGATCTCTAGCAGCAACACTACTAATATATACCTAAAATAACTGCCATTTCTCAGGTTCTTTCTCTGCTTTGGACACATCAACAATCTGTTGAAGTAAAAAATTACTGATTGAAGCTGGCAATTTTAAAGTAGAGTTACTGAATAGATACTTAACCTACTAGCATTACCATCCTATCACACTGCCACTATAACCATGATCAAGAAGGTTACATTCCAGAAATACAATTATATTGTTGGCAGGAAAGTTACATTACTTCGTTTAGCGGTAACGCAAACTACCATAAATCTACCCTTGAGTGCCAAGATGATTTGGGGGAAGATTTATATTATCCTTGCAAAACTCTTCAAGGAAATTTCCTGTCTGTGGGGACAAAGAGGTTTGCTCTATGTAAGATCTTAGGAAAATACATTTATAATAAATAAGAAACCAGATTTCAATAATACTAAGCAGACATTAAAGGTCTTTTGCCTTTTTTAAGAAGATTTTTTATGTATGATTGAAGTTTATACAACACTCCAGAAAAGCCATCATGTGTTAGATTGAAAAATAAAATCAGAAGCATTTTCTGTCATATAGGTATACATGAAAAAACGGAAACGTTAATGTCTTAGAAAGTGTATGTCCAGCTTTGTACTGTTACTCATTTAACAAAGCAGAAAATAAGATACTGTACTGTAAACAAAAAGCTACAGTAAAGGACATTTTGAAATTTACACAAGTTTGAGTTCATAAACATTTTGGTTGCTCCATAACAGTTTTCATATAAAATGAATAAAAAACCCTTGGACAGCTTTCATCACTCTTGACTACTTTTCACTTAAATGCACACAGACATACTTTATATAGCAATATACTGATGTACTGTAACATGGATATTAAACTATGATTACTGCTTTTTAACTGAGATGTGTATTATCCAATCAATATTATCTGTAATTGAAATACTCATACATTATGTATTCCCATCATGTTGTTAAGTATAAAAACATGAAAATATAACTTTACATTATTTCAGTTATATACATCAGTTCAGGCTTGACAAAGATTTTTTTACGCTACGATTTTTAGAGGAATAAACCCAGAGGTACAATAAATAGCTTTCCACTGTATACAGTAATGGAATTCTACTTTTTCAAAAAGTTTAAATTACCATATGAGTATTATTTTAGTTTGGTCATTCTAGCTTTGAACATTAAAAATCAGAATGCATTCCCCAACATTCCTGATGAAGAGTAATGCACAGAACTCCCATGGATTACAGATGCGTCAAGAAAAGCTTTAGTTTACTTTAATTAGGGGGAAGTTACTGGTAAGTTTGACGTTGAAAACACTGTATATACCTCGTTTGCTGACCGCACTGAGGGTATACACTGTGTTCACACCTTGCAGAAACAGGGTCAGAGCTTGTACCACAAGAAGTGATTTCAAGTTTCTGATAAAGGCTCTGTCTTCTCCGATGTTCAATAAATACTTTACTTAAGCCTAAGAAGTGGATTCCAACTAAAACTGCAAGTCATATTTCAAAGTTTATTCAAGTGCAAAATAAAATAGAGATTTACTGATACTGCATGAGGCAATGTATCCACAATGCAGAAAAATGTAAGTTTTCTACCAAATGTACGGAATTTTATCTACAGGGAAAGCTGGAGAAACACGATGTTGCTTTGATTTGCATTAGCATTTAAATTAATGTTATTGCACCCCTCCTAGGATTCCTTTTTGCTTTGTAAGTAGAGTTATCATTTTTAAATACACATAATTAAAACGTATGGTAATTTCAGATTGCAAAGAATATTTGTAATGATTAAGATCCAGGAAAATTTTTAAATTTTCATCAGTACAGACTTGCATCTAATTCGAGTTATTACCAATCTTAATTTAAAAAGACATTGCCAAGGTTTTGGGCTGGTTTTTTTTTTTTTTTCATAACAAAGAACTTTACTAGCTACTGCTTAGAATTACCCTTTAACAGTTTGAAAACTGCTTCCTTAAAGGAACAATTTGAGATCTGTGTTTGTTTCATACTTTAAAAAAATATTTAACACTATTTTACTGCTTGCAATTTACCAATTTTTACCGATAGTGTTCTCTCTCTGTACATGTATTTATGAACGCAATTGTACAAAAGTAGAGATAGATATGAACCAAATCTTTGGATCATAAGTCCCTGTACGTCAGAGTTAAGAGGAGCTCTAAATCAGCACCTATCTGACTCCTCATGTGCTGGTATCAAGTACCACTCCAAGCCAGAACAACGTTGATCTCCAGAGTTCAGAATGCATATCTGAGCATCACAGCTTGGGCTCGTCTGTAGAAAAAACAACGTTGAACAGATTCAAGTGACCTGGGGGTGGCGACACTGCCAAAAACTAAAACATTGACCCAACCTTGACAGTGTCCTTTTAGATTTCAGACTCTTCATAATCCAACCATAGCTAGTAAAATTAATGGAACACTTGCAAATAAAACCATAGAAAAAAGTTTATTTCAAATGTCAAGCATTGCCAAGTAATTTTATATTAACACCAAATGTTAAAGAATAGGATATACAGCAAAGTTTTAATAACAATATTAAATTACAAGATTCAAACCTTTTAATTATTATTTCTTCTCTTCTCCATATTACATATTTGGCTTTGAAAAATATGGAACTGATGCTTTAAGCCTTATTTTCATATTCCACTTCCCCACAGTCTATATTTCTTTTTTTTTTCTTTTTTTTTTCTTTTGTCATATTCAACCATTATGGAAGCAAATTTATTTAAAAGCCAGTTTTTGTCTGTGAAAATACCTAAAAATATTTTTTTCATTTTAAATGTTTTTTTCTTTTTCTTATAAAACATGTCACATCTTGATGCAATTGATGTCAAGTGTGCTTAAGTCAATATGAACCAAGGGACTAACAACGGTGGCTGCAGAAACTGGTGTGTTGCCTGTACAACGACTTCAGTTAGATTACAGTACTTCCATGTTAGCTGTGCATGTCAGTCAAGCTTCATCTTGAACTTGTGTAGAAAATGGTGTTGTGTTTTGAACTAAGCATTCATTACAATCCAAGATGAACTCCACAAATATAAGAATTCTTGGCTGAAAGAAAAGTCTTCAAGATACTGGATGCCTCTCACCACTTTGACAATAAACGCACAAGAAAACCATTGTGTAAGGCACTCAAAAGGTTCTTATCAATCACGAGAGATCAGTCACACTGACATTCATTCCCATGCCAGGACTCACGTAAGGTACTGCATGCACTGCTTTTGGAAATTCTGGAGTCATAACACGTCCATTTTCTCCAGTACTTCCTGTAATTGACAGCCTTGCCTTGCTCCTCATGGCATCATTCAAGGTCATCTTAAGAAAGAGAAAGAAAAATAAAATGATACATTACAGAAATTCAGTGTTTGAGACAGAGGGCCTGATTCTCATCTTG